TCCTCGTGTATTAGTATAAATCCTGTCATGTCTCACCGCTGCAAAACTCTCTGATCTCTTCCGAAACACGACTGCCGAAATAGGCAGCTGCTGTAGCCATTCTCGTCACTCTGACAACGGCCAGAACTGTGTCAGTCCTAAAGCAAATGAGCAACAAAGCAAAATATAACAAGAGATCCAGAGCTGCTACTCGAGCCGTACTGCGTTGCTTAGTACCAATCTTTATTTCTGCTGCCCAGATACGGGGAATGCTTTGCCACTCCGACTGCAGTTTTACAATCCAGATGTGCTGCACAACATGGTAACACACAAACGCTCAATCTAGCACCTTAGGTCTCCTAAATATGGATCACCAACCTACGAGCAGTTACCTTAACAACAGGGCAAAAGTGCTCCTTCAACAATTATATCCCCAAAACCTAGATCATGATTCAAAAACATCAGTGTCCTGCAGGATTTAGCTAATTTTCTCTATATACATTCTATTTTTTTACTCTAAACATAACATATATGGAATTTTTCCTTGTATGCAAAAATCTAGAATTCTTAACCTGTGTAGAAATCCCACACTCAGGCATCAGAATCCAGAAGGGCAGTCTAGACTTATCCATTATTTTGATGGTACAATTTGAAGGCAAGAGCATAAGATTAGCAAAGTCCTGACTGAACTTATTTTGGGGGCTCCAAAACCTGTCTTGTGTTTTGAGAAGACAGCCATTGAACCACTGTCATGGGGGGAGACAAGATGCTGAAGTGCGAGTGAACAAGCTATACATAGGTATTACATACACTTGAGAAGATTAGATCCACCATTACAGGCCAGAGTTTAGATCTCATTTGTAGGAATCTTGCATACTTAAATGCTGTGAGTGGAGTTAGACTGGCATCAAAGTCTGTCACCCTAAGCTGTTTCTGTTCTTTAGGTATCTGAGAGTGAGAGAAAGGGGTCCTAAGATAGGATCTTAGTGCTTTCTAGTTTAAAACTTCAGCTGTTTCATATTTTCTCACACTTTTTCCAGTTCACAGACAGGTGACTACATCTGAAGGAACGCTGCATTATAGTTAAAGCTGAATTGTCCCCTTTTCATCTCTTATGTTTTAAATGGTACCTGACATCTCTTATCATTAAAAATCAAGGCACAGCATAAAAGTTCCTAAGCTACTATATTTATGTAGGAGGATGGAGAAAGCACAGATTTTCAAGTACCCACATGGGTGTAGGAAGGTGTTTCTGCAATGACAGTATCCTTATTATGTCAGATTGTTATAAATGTTAAAGTGTGCTAAGGTGCAATGATTTTACTGCTCAGAGTATATGTTACCAGGACTATAAAAACCAGTGGTGATAAGAGGGTAATTGCATAATGACAGATATAATTAATATATTTAATACTTGCAGCCAGATAGAGTGCCTGTCATATCAGGATAGAGCTCATGTGACAGAAATAAGATTGCCATAAACAGCTTGTTTTATGTAACATTTCCACTTCAGTCATAATAAGCTGTCAGAAAGATGGGGGAAAGACACCTTGTCAAAAGTGTGTCCTAGATGGAGATCACTTCATGTGGCGGTTATTAAAACAGGGATATAAAACTGGAGCCCAATGGCAGGAGGGGAAGTGCTCTGGGTGCCTGCTTTCTAATGTGTAGACTGCAGAGAGGTGGAGAGCTAAGCAAGACCTCAGGCAGAGTTCACAAGACTGCCCAGGAGGAGCTGCGGGAGTTATCTCTGTTTTGCACCCTTTCAAATGAAGACAGGAAGGAAATGTAATATTCTAATCATTATCTTTTTAAAATTAAAAGGTACAGTCTTTGTCCATGTAATCACTTTAGTTTATTTGTACTATGGTGCTGCATCATCGTTATGTGCTGATCTAGGCAATTAACTTTACACATGGGGCTATTCATGCATACATTTCAGCACATGCTTACATCTTTGCAGCTTTAAGGCACTCTTTTCCAGACTTATTTAACTGCTTACTGTCTCAACTGGCTGGTTTTGAAATGTTTCCTGTATTTCTGATTCCCATAACAAAAGGATTATGATGAAATACTAGGGAAAAAAAATTAAAAATCATTCAACGTGCAGGCAAGTTTCCATTGTAACTGCAGAAAGTTAAATACTGAAATCCCGTCTCCAAAGTACAATTAACTAGAGTCATGAAGGCTTTGGGTTTTTTAATTTAAACTGTTGGATTCATGAACAAAAGTCACCAATCTTTTTCTTCTTGACTTCTTTGAAGGAAATTTTCTTTTTCTCTTTTTTATCATTGGAGACTTTAAAAATGGTTCGTGACAAAAAAATTCTAGTCACACATACAAAGATTCATTTATACTAAGTCCCTTTTATACAGCTCTGATGGCTAAAAGGAGAGACACTAAGAAGGTTAGAGCCTCTCCATTGGAAATGATCAGTTTTATGTGACGCGTTTGAGCATGTATGCATAGCTGAATACATCCTGTTAAAGTGGTTGAATTTATTTATTCCCTAATTCCACGTGTCTCTGAAACAATACTTTAAAGAGCTTTATTGTGAATAGGAACTGGGCCTATAGCATTAAATCAGAATTCAGGCCATTGAATCCAATTCAGCCTAGGTAAATTGTGAATAAAACTGAAAATGTACAGCCATCCTATGGCTGCTTAGAAGATGAGAAATAAGTTGGTGCATTTCCAAGAGGGGAGGTACTCATTCCCTAAATGTTGGTGTTACTAATATGCAGGTATAAGGTAGCAGTCTTGGACAAATAAACAGAAGTTTGAGTAATCTTGGAAACTGGATTACTCTTTTACCTTATGGATTTATTGTCTAGCCAGTCCCAAGGAATATCAGTTGAGCTATCTTGGAATAAATGACACAGACTAAATGACTTCTACCAGGACATTCTTTAGGAAATGGAAAAATTCAGCCTCAAGGGCAGCTTGCAAATCCTCTTTTTTTCACAGGCACCTTCTGCTTTCACCTTACTTTGCAGATTCCGTCTTTTTACACTGTTTTGTCACCTGGATCCCTTCAATTAAGTTTGACTGAAGCAAAAGCAATGGAGAACGGCACTCTAACAAACGGCTTTTAAGTGTTTGGGGTGGTACAGTGCCTTGGGTTCTACAAAGAGATGCCCATTGATTTCATGCTAAAACCAGCTGTATCAATTGCATCTTATCTATAGATATGTGAACAAAACAGCCTTTAGAACATTCCCTCTTTTTTTGTGCAAAATCAACTCTTAGTACATTTTACTCCTTAGTTTGTTCATACTCTAAATTAGCATGCACTGATGTTCTAAAATGGAAAGCAAAACCCATCAGAATCTTGTATGGGAGAAGATAAGGGACTGTCATTGATTTTGTCTGTTTAAAATTCAATACTTGGACAAACTTTCTGCTGAATGGGTGGCTCAACCCCAGCAAAGCTAGGATCTGTGGCAGTTATGTGGCTGTTAAGGTTGTTAGGTCACAATTGTTTTTATTGGATCAAGTCATTAAAGTATTGGTTTATAACACATAAAAAATCTGACGACGTATTCTGAAACTACTTGGCACATGTTTTCATTCAAGAGAAGTTAGAGGATCTGTGACAGTCATTGGTGTTGGGTGGAAAATTCCACATGTTTTCAGGTTTCGGTTGGGTAATGAAAATTGGATGGACTCTATATAGCCCAAGTTAAAAGTGGGTATAAATTACTTTTTCTTGGATTTATTCTTAACTACCCCCTCTGTCTACAACTGTAAGAAAGTCTGTTCCCCTCAAGGCACCTTTTACTAGCTTGATTAGATGGGAGAAGGATTCTCCTTCAGTAGAAGAGATCAGAACTCTATGCACAAATTCTAAGTCTCCCGCTACTCATCCAAACATTAATTAAGAGTGCATGTGAAATTACTTACCCCCATGTTACATACAGGAATATGAGTCACAGGGTCTTTAAAGTGACTTGCCTAACATTGTACATAAGGTCTGTAGCTGAACTGAGAAGGTGTCTTTCATCCAATGTCAGTGTTCTGTTAAATAAACACTCTT